TATTTAAACTCGTTACGTGAGCATGATGAATTCTAAAAAAATATAAATTATTTAGTCTAATTAATTTTTGAGTCGCCCTATAAACCTAAATAATTATTACGCTAGGATTATTGGGCTAATTTTGTCGGAAAAGACTGTCCTATGATCTTGTATTAAAAGAAGAAGAATCATTTGATACAGCAGTCGTGATAATCTCATGACAAATTGAGTTAAAATATAAGACATTTCCAGAATGGAAAACCCACTTAGCGAAAGTTTGTGGCACAATATTACAAAGTCTAGGAACAAGATATACTTCGTAATTTAAACTAACATCAAAAATCCTATGAGCTTATCAGAGATGATAACCCAACGTGAACAAATCCTCCTCTGATCAAGATAAATTGTTGACTATAAATGCCGAATCCTATTCAAAGATCACATGGTCCACCAATACTCACTCAAAACAATGTTACATGCAGAGTATATGACATAAATTGATATATATATATATATATATATATATATATTAATAAAATGCACGTAAATTATCATACAAAATTATTACATCACAATTGTTTAAAAATCCAGAATTTAATTAAATAAAAAAAATAACTTCAAAATTAAAGATTAAACTAAATTTATTAATATATCAAATTAAAATTTTGAGATAAGGTTTGCATGTAGTGATTAGCTGGGTGGGCTTAGAATAATTATATCAGATTACTGGTATTTTTAATTTGAAGTGCAATCTATTTTTTTTCCTTAGAAGGCGTTTCTCCGTATTTCCGGCGACCAAGCCGTTGGATTTAACGTAAGAGAGAAGTCAAACAAAGTCTATATTTACTCTTTCCATCCGAAATTTGAAATTACAAACAAGCCCATCTATCAGCTTTCATCACCCTAGTGTCAATTTCGTCAAAAACAACCAAACACATCATTTTTTTGGGTATTCAAAAACCCCCCGATTCACAAAACTCACAGCCCAACTCACCTCTCTCTCTCTCTCTCTATCATCACGGCGCCAACACCGTTACCGTTAAAAGAAATGCAGTCAACGATGTCACGTCGCAAAGTGGCTCCAGGCGCCGCCGATGCTGCAGAATCCGGCGAAAAGCAGGAGCAGCTCCTCCTTTCTTCCGCAATCTGTAACGGCGAGGACCTCGGTCCTTTTGTCCGCAAAGCTTTCGCTTCTGGTAGGCCTGAAACCCTGCTTCACAACCTCCGTCATTTTTCTCGTTCGAAAGAATCGGAAATCGAAGAAGTTTGCAAAGCTCACTACCAAGATTTTATTCTTGCTGTCGATGATCTTCGATCTCTTCTCTCCGACGTCGATTCCCTCAAATCTTCTCTCTACGACTCCAACTCAAGACTACAATCCGTCGCCGGTCCCCTGCTTTCTTCCCTTGATTCCTTCGTCGAAGCTCAAAATGTTTCGAAGAACGTGGACTTTGCTTTGCAATCAGTGTCTTCGTGTATTAAGCTAATGGGACTTTGCTCAAGAGCTAATCATCACCTCTCAAACTGCAGTTTCTACATGGCCTTGAAATGTTTAGACTCGATTGAAAACGAGTTCCAAGATAAAACACCATCGTCTACTTTAAAAAGGATGCTAGAGAGCAAGATTCCAGAGATTCGATCTCATATCGAAAGGAAAACCAGCAAAGAGTTCGGCGATTGGCTCGTGGAGATTCGCGTGGTGAGTCGCAATTTAGGGCAATTAGCAATCGGGCAAGCCTCAGCTGCTAGGCAACGTGAAGAGGATCTAAGAATTAAGCAAAGGCAAGCCGAGGAACAGAGTCGACTCAGTTTGAGGGATTGCGTTTATGCTTTAGAAGAAGAAGTTGATGATGAAGGTGGATTTGGGGGAGACGAAAACGATGGTTATAATTACGGTAACAACGGCTTTTTAGGTTTTGATTTGACTCCTCTTTATAGAGCTTATCATATTCATCAAACTTTAGGACTCGAAGACCGATTTAAGCAGTATTACTTTGAGAACAGGAAACTTCAACTAACGTCAGATTTTCAAGTATCTTCTATGACTCCCTTTCTTGAATCTCATCAAACATTTTTCGCCCAAATTGCTGGTTTTTTTATTGTAGAAGATCGGGTTTTTAGGACAGGAGGGGGTTTAATTTCGAAAATGGAAGTTGAGAATTTGTGGGAAACTGCTGTTAGTAAAATGTGCGCTGTTTTAGAGGATCAGTTTTCAAGGATGCAGACTGCTAATCACTTGTTACTGATTAAGGATTATGTGAGTTTGTTAGGGGTTACATTGCGGAGGTATGGCTACGCTGTTGGTGCATTGCTTGATGTTTTGAGTAAGCATAGGGATAAGTACCATGAATTGTTGTTGTCTGATTGTCGGAAGCAGATTGCAGAAGCACTTGCTGCTGATAAATTTGAGCAGATGTTGATGAAGAAGGAGTATGAGTATTCGATGAATGTTCTATCTTTCCAGATACAAACATCGGATATTGTTCCGGCATTTCCTTATGTTGCACCATTTTCGTCTACTGTACCTGATTGTTGTCGGATTGTTAGATCTTTTATTGAAGACTCTGTTAGTTTTATGTCTCATGGTGGGCATTTTGACTTCTACGATGTTGTTAAGAAGTATTTGGATCGGCTTTTGAGTGAGGTTTTAGATGGGGCTCTTTTGAAGCTTATCAGTTCATCTGTCCATGGGGCTTCTCAGGCTATGCAGGTTGCAGCAAATATGGCTGTATTGGAGCATGCTTGTGATTTCTTCTTTCGTCATGCCGCACAACTTTCAGGCATTCCTTTGAGAATGACAGAAAGGGGTAGGAGGCAGTTTCCTCTTAGCAAAGCCTGCATTGCCGCAGAAGAAATTCTGTCTGGGACGCTCAAGACAAAGGTTGATGGTTTCATGACATTGATTGAGAATGTGAACTGGATGACTGATGAACCTTCACAAGGTGGTAATGAATATGTGAATGAAGTCCTAATATATTTGGAAACTCTAGTTTCTACTGCACAACAGATATTACCACCTCAAGTTCTTAAAAGAGTTTTACAAGATGTTCTTTCTCACATATCAGACAAAATTGTTGATACTTTACTTGGGGATTTAGTTAAGAGGTTTAATGTAAATGCCATTATAGGGATTGATGTAGATATTCGCTTGTTAGAATCATTTGCAGATAACCTGGCACCTCAGTTTTCTGAGGGTGATGCAAATCAGTTGAAAAATGCACTTGCTGAGTCGAGGCAGTTGATCAATTTGCTTTTGAGCAGTCATCCAGAGAATTTTCTGAATCCAGTAATTAGAGAGAGGAATTACAATTCCTTGGACTACAGGAAAGTTGTGACAATCTCGGAGAAGTTAAGGGATCCTTCGGATCGGCTATTTGGAACCTTTGGGAGCAGGGGTGCCAAGCAGAATCCAAAGAAAAAATCTTTAGATGCATTGATTAAAAGACTCCGTGATGTGAGCTGATTTGGCGAAGAGTTGTATGTAAGTCTATGTTCTTTTGCCTTTAACCTTTGTTGATTGCAATTGCAGATATTTCTAGTATATTATTGCTAGTTCATTTGCTTCATAGAAAGCAGAGCAGTTGGTTCTCTCTTTTCTTTCTTTTTCCCTAGTTGTATTGAAAATTTTGTTTGTATGTATCATTCATAAGCATTTTACTGTCAGCTTTATCAAATTCTTTTTGGGCCATGAGTGATTTTTTCTTATTAGTCGAATGACACCTATAGCTATATGTCTACAAGTAAAATGCTATATTCATTGCTTGTACTTTTTTCCTCTCTATTGGATGCCAGCCAATATTGGTGCATCACACATGGTTGATTCCCTTATGCTGATGCATTTGTGGGATGCAGACATACATACGCACATTTCTATGTGCATTCATTTTCGTTGGGATAAATTTAATATTTATTTCGGGAGTTAGCTTTGCGCTACAATGTAGACTTGCTAGTTAAGGAATTGATTATATCTGAGAGCGGCCGAAAATTGATTATGATTGTAAGTTGTTTTTTCAAGAAGAGAATGATGGAAATCTTTGATCTTGTAGATGGTTATTTGTATGGAATAAATAATTACTTCACATATTGGTCTGTCTGCAATTAAATTTGGGCATGATTGCAACATTAATGTATCTTATGGCAATCAATCAACTGCTTTATGATGAGTTTAATTGGATAGGCTAGTTAGATAAATTTTAGATAGTCCTTGCATCTATACGGTATTTGATATTTGATTAGCCGGTTAATAAATTGGATATTCTCTAATTATACTTTTGTGTGATTACTTTATATAATTATTAAGACAATAATTGTATTTTTATAGGAAACTAAATTTTATTAATATTCAAATATATAAAGAACTTAAATTAAATGGAACTAATAATATTTAGGGCATAAGCCGTCTTTTACTTCACTTAGCTCGGTCGTTGTTGCTAGATCTCTTCTGTAGGCGTGATATATAAAGATGCTAATAAAATTGGCTTGCATTTTATTTGTTATTTTCTTTTCAGCAAGATGTTTGCAATGCTTATGAGTAGCTACATTGAAGTTCATCAATTGTTTTTCACCCAAGTTTATGTTCTTACGTCTCTTTCTTCAACTGTTTTACAATACGTGGTCGACTTTACAATGAACGAGTAGCATCATTGGGACGGTACGTTACCATCCACCGTATAGATGAACATGCATTTATAGACGCAGGCAGCATCGGTTCATATATTTATGAGCACGAAGGAGCACATGAAAACATTGGATGATGTCATCGGTAAAAAAAGTCACTACGTGGCTGGTAGCTTTTATATTATTTGTTTCCAGTTGCGGCTATAATTAATATCACCCCAGGCTGGAGGCAGCATCGGTTCATATATTTGAGCACGAAGGAGCACATGAAAACATTGGATGATGTCATCGGTAAAAAAAGTCACTACGTGGCTGGTAGCTTTTATATTATTTGTTTCCAGTTGCGGCTATAATTAATATCACCCCAGGCTGGAAGCTTTTTTCACTTTTAATTCCCCACCAAATTCCATCAAATATTAATGAATCCTCTTTCTTTTCCCATGGCGTATGGAAGCGTAATCTCTCTGATTCTAGTCTCCCTGTGGGCTTCATTTTCTTCAGCCGATGAGAAGTTATCTGCGTATCAAGTTGTTCAACAGTACGACTTCCCAGCAGGCATCCTTCCCAAGGGGGTAAGTGGGTACGAATTGAACAGAGAGACGGGTGAGTTCTCTGCTTATTTGAACGAAACCTGCGACTTCAAGATCGAATCGTACCAATTGCGTTACAAATCCACCATACAAGGCGTAATCTCCCCGGGGAAGATATCCAACTTGAAGGGCGTGAGCGTTAAGGTTCTCTTCTTTTGGCTTAACATCGTTCATGTGATCCGGGATGGGGAGGAGATACAATTCTCGGTGAGTATCACGTCCGCTAACTTCCCTATTGACAACTTTTACGAGTCTCCACAGTGTGGGTGCGGATTCGACTGCGATGGGTTGAATGGATTCGCCGCATCGATTTAGTTAGGTGGCCGTACTCATCAGTTAAATAAGTTTAGGCTATGTTTTAGGTTTTCAGTGTACGGTTACGGGCTTGAATTCCCAGTAGATGTAGCTTATGTTGATAAGTAAACAACTTTTTCTCTTCCTTTTATAAATTTAATTCTGAGAAATAACACTGAAATTATTTTACGCTAATTAGATGTTCAGTTACATGAAAAATGTACAAAAGAGAGAAAGGCAACTTTTTTTAAAAAAAATTAAAGAGATGAAAAAAATAATTAAAAAATTGGTGATCATTTGATTTAGATATTAATCTGTTGATTGTGATATGATAAAATTTAATCCTAAAATCATTTGATATGTATTTTGTTGTTCAACTCTCATTTATATTATGTCGTTGAACCAGTGCTTAAAAGTAATGGTGGTGTCAGTATACACCATTAAAATATAATTTTATTATATTTCAGTTAGTATGTTAACGTTCAATTTAAACAATTGTTAAATTTTTTAAAGAAAAAAGACGAGTTTGAAACATATAAATAGTAAGGTGATTATTTTATAATTTTTAATAATTGAGGGATTTTACAAAACAATGTTTTATAATTAAAGATCATTTTATAATTTTTAATAGTTAAGAAACTCAACAAAATAACTTCTTATGTTCAGGGACATTACCTACAATTTATTAGTTTTATATTACAATTTAATCTTTATATTTTAGTCAAATTTTTTTCTATTTTATATAATAATTTAATCCTTATATTTTAAATTCTTAATATAATAATAAATCACATAGTTTAATGACAAATGAGATATTAAGGGCCTTTCTACCGCTCCCTCTAATTAGTTTTCAATGTAATTTGGGGCAAAATTCGCCTGATATTATAGATGGGATAATTATTTAGTTTAATACGATACAAAATAAATTATTCAAAGATTTATGATATTTTTTATAGTGATTTGCAATTCGTCACTAAAATATAATGAATTTGAATAAAAAATATTATTTTAATAAACTCGTGTAGTCCACATGCGGATAATTAATTTTAGAAATGATCTAATGGACTACTTTTTTTTCCGCATGGATGCCTTGACGGGCTTTCTCTTGTGGGCCCAGAGAAATCGGCCCGAATAAGGGTAAGGAGTGTTTGTGACTATTTCCTCTTTATACGAAGTAGTCGGTATTTTAACAAAGTCAAAAAATTCCAGAACGCGAGCCAATATCGTGCCCTGAAAGCTGCTAAAACGACATAGTTTTTGAAGCCCACCTGTGACTGTATAAAACACTAACCCCCATTTTGCAATTACAAATGTCAAACGATTTCTCCCGCACTCTGCTTATCTAAAGTCAAAAGAGTAACAACCCAACATAGCAAGTAAGCTGCAAGTAGACCAGCTCCGACACGAAATCGCCAAGCGGGGGCTCGACACAACCAGAACCAAGCCCTTTCTGGTTGAACCCAATCTCCTTTTTAATCTGCCTTTTTTAAAATACAATTTAAATGCCATTCTCATTTTTTTCTTAGATTTTGAGCTGTTAATAACAGGTGCAGAGACTAGAAGAAGCTTTGCTCAAGGAGAAGAAGAAAGAAGAGGATAATGAAGGAAATGCAAATGATGCAACCGAAAATAACACGAGAAAGAGAGGGAGGGAATCGGATGTTGATAATAACGAGGATCCAAACAAAGTCAAGGTCATTGAGGAATTTCGACAAATGAATGTCAAGCAATTACGCAAACAAGCTACACTTCGTGGTCTTTCCACTGCTGGAAAAAAAAGAACTTCTTGAGCGGCTTCGCCAGGATGCTGACAAAAATTCTCTCTGTGGTAAATTGAATTTCGGTTGCATTTGTTCATTTTGTTTGTTAGTGCCATTGGTGAAAGACTAAACGGAGTTTCCTTGTTTGTTGCATGAGTAGTTCAAGAGGAGGAAGAGGAAGAAGAAGAAGAAGAGAAAGAGAGTACCAAGGAGGAGAAAATTGTTACGGGCACAAAGAAAGGTGTGTCTGTTCTGGATCACGGGATTCCGGATGAAATAAAGGCTCATTATCACGTTTTACAAAAGGCTAGTCTTTTCTGCTTAAATTCCATTTTTGAGCCTGCCAATTTGGAAAATATTTTGCCTGCCTGGTTTATTTTTTCATTCTATTGTATATTTTTAGAGTAGAAGAATTAGTATTTCGGTTTCGGTGATCCAGGGTGATGATATCTATGATGCCATGTTAAATCAGACGAATGTTGGTGAAAACAATAACAAGTTCTTTGTGATCCAGCTTCTAGGTTAGTTATTTGTTATAATGCATTTTATCCCAATTCCAGAAACTGATATTCAAATTTATTGCTTCAAGTGTTTTCCTATGATAATTTAATCATCAGCCGAAAGAAGCTCATTTAAATTCATTTGCATAGGCAATTTACTTCCTTTTATGGGTTGTCGGGTTGGGATGTTTGCTTGTTCTGCTTTCATCATGATTTCCTAATTACAAATTTTCCCGCAGAATCTGATGACTCAAAGACATACATGGTTCATAATAGATGGGGTAGAGTTGGTGTAAGGGTCAAACTAAGTTACATGGCCCCTTTCTTCACTTCACGCTGCAATTAATGAGTTTCAAACAAAAAGTTCTTTAACAAGACCAGAAACTATTGGTACAACAGGAAAGACTTTGTTTGTCACCCCAAGTTCTATGCCTTGCTGGAGATGGAGTATGATGAAAGCGGAAAAGAGTCTGATGTGAGTTGTTTTCAGACACAAATAGATTACATGACATACTAGCTCCTGCATCTTCCCCCACTATCTTCCCCTTTCTAATTTTCTTAAATGTTTAAGAAGCAAGATATTCTCTTACCTAAAATCATCTTTAAGGAAATGAGAGGAATGGGACTACGGGAGAGAAGGGGCATCATATAACCTATGCTAGTCTATGGAGCTTTAGTTTCCTGATGAACTGCTTTTGACTTCTTAATTACTATATTCAGGTCATAAAGACAGACTCTTCCATAGGGACTCAATTACGGGAAACAAAGCTTGAACCACGTGTTGCTAAATTTATCTCTCTTATATGCAATATCAGCATGATGAAGCAACAAATGATGGAAATAGGTGAGCTTATAATTGTTTTTTAAACTATTTATATACGTTTGTTCAATTTTTAGGCCATGTTTGCTTCATTTGTTTTTCTATGGCTTTGTAAATTCCTTTTCACTTTTATCCTTGTATTGCTGCTAATATTTCCCGTTAATATTGTGGTTGTCTTCAAGGATACAACGCTGACAAGTTGCCTCTTGGTAAGCTAAGCAAATCCACAATTTTAAAGGTACTTTTTCAATACATGCACTAGACATTTCTCTTTGAAACATCTTTGGTTAGTTACAAAAGATTTTAGAAGGTAAAAGGTATTCCATTGTGGTGATAACTTTCAGTATCAATTTTAAATATTGAAGGTCTAGTCTGGTCATTGAGTCAGTAAGTGTAGGGACTTACAGTTTGGTGCCACAGCTTTCAATTTTTTGATCGTTCAGATAACTTCTTTTCATATGCCCCTTAATCTACTTTAGGGGCTGAGCACCCCTTTTATGGGCCCCCGTCTCCTACTATGCGTTGTCTTACAATGGTTTCTTAGCATCAATCTTATTGGGCATGTCTTAGTTTCACGCTGCTGCATGCTTGTCTTTCACAAGCTTGCAATAACTACAGTATTGGCATGTTACGAGTACATTTGTCAGATGGTAGCCTTTTTTTCAAAAATAACAAATTAATTATGCTTGCATGTGTTCAGGGTTATGATGTCTTGAAGAGAATTGCTTATGTGATTGACCAGTCAACAGGAGCAAGCTTGAGCAATTAAGTTCGTAAGTACTTTTCCGTAACTTTAGTTACACATGTACAACAGTAATGCTTTATAGTATTGGCTTTCTATTTCAAGATAGCATGTCATGTTGATTACAGCTGTGTGCTCTATTTCTATTTATTTTCCATGAACTCTTCATGTTGTAGAAATGTGAATTTCATTGTTGGTTAATTCTTTTTCTTTTTAATTACAGAGAATTTTACACTGTGATTCCCCATGATTTTGGATTTCCAAAAATGTGTGAGTCTAATTCTTCCCCTCCTCCTTCTCTAGCCGTACCCAATAACAATATTACAACTGACATGGACCTATCTGTGGCAGGTGATTTTGTCATTGACACCTCAGAAGTTGAAAAAGAAGTTGGAAATGGTGATTTATACCTAGCTACTTTATATTGTAATTATGCCCGAGTGTTTTACAAGTTTGTGCCATTTCTCTTAGTTGTTTTCTTAAATAAGAGTAATCTCAGTTCCTCTGATGTGATTGAAGGTTGAAGCCCTGGGAGAAATAGAGGTTGCATCAAAATTATTAGCGGATGACACTTTGGAGGAGGTATTTTGCTTCTAAGATCTAATGTTCTTTTCTACATTCTTCTCCTTTAATCTCCTATTTAGTCCATCCTTTAGATAAGCTGAACAAAAAGGTGTGTTCTAAACAACTAAAAATGCTTGAACACCCATGCTTGTATTTTGCTTGCAAGTTTTGATTATTGTTGTCTTCATATGCATGATATTCACGCATGAGTCCTGAGTCTACAACTGTAAGCCATATGACCAACAGTCTACAACTATGTCCTTTAAGACTGTTTTGAGCTACATTCCAACCGTCTGTCATTCTTTTTTCTTCAGTTAACGGATAAAAAATTATACGATTGTATTGATCTACATATAGGGAGCTTAATTTGGGCCATAGTTAATTTTAGCACCCACATTTCTTTCATCTCTAACTTCATTTGTTATATTAATGAGTCCATGTATGCATACACACAAAAGTACTATTGAGATTTTTTTTTTGGTTCCTTCTCATTCGATTATTTATGCACTAATTTTTTGCTCTAATTTAATGTTGTGGGGAATGTTTAGGAAGATCCTTTACATTATCGTTACCAACAGCTTCATTGTGAACAGATGCCAGTTGAAAACAACTCCGAGGAATTTGCTATGGTATTTGTTCATCTTTGCAGCTTTGAATTTTGAAGT